CGGCGCGGGAATCCTTATTTTCCTTCTAGATGCATACACTATTCTATCTACCATTGTATACCACTCTTGTTCTCATTGGCTTCAGGGCGTCGGGACATCTTGGCACAAGGCTAACAAACATGACTCCTATCTACACTATCTAACCCCCGAGTTTTCGGACTTCCATTATCATTATATTCTTCCCATCTAAGTCTATAAAGATGAGCTGTGAGCCAAGATCAATGATCATCTCGCAATTACAGCAGACCGCCCATATATGCGCGCCGCCGCCAACGTCCCCATCAGCCTATCCATAATATAATTTTACGGGCAGCATATATGAACGATCCGCCGGAAGAAAGATTAGCCTACGAAGAAAGGGAAGGTGCAGCGGGGATGTTAGAAACCGACGCGTAACTCCATTTGCGAGCCCTGTAGCTTCTTATGGTCAGTTGAGCGCACTCACTCGCACTGCACCCGCCCTCGTGTAATCCTCCTGCATACACTGACTGAGAAAGACCCCTACCCTACCGTGGCTGCAACCTCCCCTTTACGTGCAAAAGAACTACCGCAATTAATCTCGCAGTCATGAATTGTCACTCACCTTTGGTTAGTAAGAGGGATCATTGCAATGAAATCAGCACAATTACGCCCAGAACGCCCAGAACGAGACTAAGGGTCTGGGAATAGAATGCAATTCTACTTCCAAACCATTTTTCAAAAACACAGAAAAAGCATCAAAAAAAGAAAAACTAGCTAAGTAAACAAAAGACAAGCCTCGTGAACCACTCATCCAGCCGAATGACATGATTTGATTCACGAGGCTTCTCATCAGACTTTGCAATATAAAACAGCGCAAGCAAGGAAAAACAAAAACAGGACGATTCCAGCAGCAATAGATAGATGAAGACCCGGTAGTCAAAGAATAGGAAATCCACCACATCGAGATACCCACAAAAACTTACAAACATCTCAGTTCATTCCAAAGCGCAAAGTAATTAGATCAGGTACCCTACCCCGTTCGTTTGTTCAAGAAACCACACTACCCCACTACCATAGCGTTAGCTCTCCTAGCCTGTGCCTTCTTCTCCTTCCTCGGAAGCGGCCCGATTGGTGCTCTCAAGATAATCAGTGCCTCCCTGCTTGCCAGATGTTTCGCCTCCAGCTTTGTTGTCGCTACGGCAGTGGCAATATCTTTCCCATCTAAGCTCACAGTTACAGTCCACTGGATATTCATCCCTTGATATCCATTATCCTTGAACAGAAAACTCGGCTGCGACATCTTGCTCTTCGCCGCAAACTCCATCAGCCGCGAAGTATAAATGCTGATATTCTGACGTCTCAACTTTGCCTCTATGGACGAAGGCTTTGGCGGGTCCATGGATACTGCTGGCGTAGCCGTGCCAAGAAGGCCTGGGGTATTGACAGTGAATGTGGGCTTTTTCATCGCGGCGTTGGAACCGGTCGAGGAGATGTGCTCCTGGTATAGGGCATGGTATTTCTCCGCATACGGGGCAACGACCTGTGAGTACCAGATGTAGAGGTCATGATAGCGCTGAGTCCCGAGTTCACGATGGATTCCACCGATATAGGCTGTGAAGAGTTTTCCAAGGATTCCGTCGGAATCTGAGGTGTAATTTAAAGCTGTGAGACGACTATGGAGGCTAAGGACTCTCGATAGGTGTGCGTAGAGCGCTGTGGTAGTTAGGGCTGTAGTCATGTCCTACATGTAGTTACTGTTGTTAGTTGTGTTGTTCCAAGCCAGGGATGTGTAGTCGCCAGATTTCGATTCACAACCTAAAAAAGAGTACAAGAATTGTTTCTCACCTCTAAACCGCCGGCATCCAGCTCAGGAAATAAACTCATCACTAGCATCCCCGTCAACCCTTTTAACACGCTGGCTCCCAGCCATCTCAACACCTCGTTGTCTCTCCTCTCTGATCCGGAGGCTTCGTTGACGCCTAACCACTGCACCTGCGACAATGAGTACACAACCTGCTCCAGAGCCTTGTCCTGGAAGTTATAGAGCAACGGCGTCTCTTGATAGGGTGGAAGGACGGGAATTCCGTAGATGGAGAACCAAGATGTTGCCATGATCGAGTACGATTTTTATCTTGTGATGAAAGTTTCAAATCTTGTAGGAGTGGATGGAGAGGCTCGAGAGGTGGGGATAGGATATGAGACTTGACCTCTTCGCGCTTGGGCCAAGTAAAGACCCGTGTTCAGAGTTTTTTTTAGCTTCTCCACACCAACAGGGTTGACTGCCTGAAGTGAATGCAGGGATGGCCGTAGCGAGGAGGCCAAAGATTTCCCACGGGCAACTGCTTAAAAAGATTCAACTTATCTCGCAAAACGGGCAGCTCCTTTGAGAGAAGCTGTGTGTATTTATCTCTCCTCTGGTCGCGATAAGTATGGATGGAGTTTGCTTCGCTTAAACCTTGGCTCTAAATAATCCTCAGGGAATCTTACATTAACAGGGTCCCAGGCTCCGTGGTGGGGAAATTGTACTCTCGGAGCAAGTGATGAAAAGAGTTGAACGCTTCACACAGAAAGAGAGCACTATTCTCCACCTTATATATGTCCACTATGTCCTCTACCTGCCAGGATTGTGTGTCGCCCGCAGCTGGAATGCGGCGTGCTAAGCGAGGTGGGGATTGGGATTGACCTACCAAGCTGATGAGGGGAGCTATTAACTACTCCAGCTAGCCAGGCTAGTAGACCCTTTACGCAGATAGAGCTGGCTCTAAATTCTACTTGTATGATTGGTTGATGGGAGGGTCGGTGCCAATCTTTTTCGCAAAGGGCCTAGTACCTACTATCGTAATAAATGGATTTTCTTCAACTCAAACAGACACAGTCGGACCATTTTCTCTCTCCCCGCAATCCCAAGCACTAAGCGTAAACGCAATACGAAACAGAGGCAGGAGGTGGCTAATCGAACGAAGCACATGCAAACGCCAAGACCCCCCACCCGAGTGATTCCGCATGAATTAACATCTATTCACCCGGACGCGATTTTTCAATGTCTTGACGTTTCGACTCGGGGTAATACCCACTATATATGGGCGTTTCCCTTGAAATGACAGATACGGGAGTTCTAAGGGCCGCGGCAGCAGACCAATTCCTAAGGTCTAGTGATTGAGGGACGAATCAATATAACTTCTTCGACCCAGATGAAAAAGGGATAGTATCTAACTTACCCAGTGTCGAAGAACTACGTGACACTCCGCGGGAAGATACACCGCCATATGACGCAGCCCATGTCCCACATCAGCGCTCAACACTAACAGTCTCAACTCTCCAGCGCCCACGAATTCACAACCTTCCACCTTCCCACAGGCCCACGCCTGATATACGCTTAGCCATCCACGGAGTCATAGGCACATGTGATGACTCACCCACATCCTATCCTGTGTATAGGAGGGAGCGCAAGCGAACGTTTACATGTACATAGTTGGCGTGAGACTAATAGAAAAGATACTTGGGATGAGTCATCCACTTCGGCTAGAAGAGGGTACGACCGGAGGGAGTACATGGACAGAGTGACAGCCGGCAAGGCTGGAACGGGAGGAGAAGAGAGGCGCAAGCCGGAAAAGAGAGGAAGCCTGCAGGGCTTACTCAGAGAGCACCGTACGGTAGAGAAGGTGCCAAGAGAGAACAGAGAGAGGAGGCGCCAGCCTCCTTATATGATTCCCTCTCTGTTCTCTGGCACCTGGAACCAGTAAGTAATATACGCAGTAGATTGCATTCTTAAGGTTGAACATCGCTGGCGCCAGACTGCATTGTTCAGTACAAAATGAGATTTTGGACCTAACCCTTGACACCACGAGTCTGACACCACCAGTGTTACACTGACACCAGGTGGCAACCTAATGCGGTAATCTTTAGTTACCCTACCTTTCGTAAAACGGTATATAGAGGCAGCATCCCCCCCACAATGGAGGTACTTCCTCCATTCCCTTGACTAGTAGCGACACGCGTATGTACCAAGAGCCATGGCTGCTGTTAACCAACAACCTTCATTCGATGTCATCGCAGGGGCTATGAATAACATTTCACGTTCCCACGCAATTCTAGCAACGCACTTTGATAGGATCCCCAACGTCCCTGCCTTCGACGGTGGAGCCCTGATTCTGGCTGAGCTCAGAGCCATGCGAGAGGACATAGGACTACGGTTTGAGGACGTGAGTCAACAATTAGACGAGATCAAACAAGGACTCCAAGCAGCGTGAGCGACCTTCTATGATCCCGCTTAAGTGAATACTGCTACAGGGCTTACTGACCTTCTCTGTCTAGAGATTTTAATTCCGTGGCTCGCTTAGAGAATAGCTTTCTGGCCAGGACTGCTGATTCGCCGTTGAGCCCATTGAAGACGGCCCAGAACCAGCCTGTCAATGATTTCCCTCAAACACTGGGTCAAATTGATCTTTTGGGCTGTGAATCATTCTATCCACCTACAGGGTTGATCGGCAGCTGATGTGTAGCCTATTAGCTGGGGACGTGAATGCTCTGCTCACCGCATATGGCCTGCCCACTACGGGTCTTATCGCTGTTCGTCGAGGCCGGCTGAGGCAATACATTGGTATCACCATTAGAAGGTAGACTCGTGTTAGTCGAGTCAGTACGCGACCGGTACTCTCGATAGAGGAGTACAGGAATCGATTAGGACGAGAATCCGAAGGATTATTGTGAGTACTTCCGTCGCAGTATTAAATGAGCGTGAGCGAATGTATACTGATACAAGGGACACAGTATTAGATTAGGTGGGACTGAAAGTACCAGCACTATTCTGTGGGTGGATGGCCACGGTTTCCGTTGGTTAGTACGCGACCGGTACTCTCGATAGAGGAGTACAGCGAAAGGATAGCTGGGGCGATGATAGTCGAGTTACCCGGCTCTGTATATTATCTAATTCAATCATTAAATCCTAATTATATTATGGTGAAGGGGGTACGGGGGCGCAGCCCCTCTACGAGATCAAAAGAAAAAGGTGAACGTCCAACGAAGGGCACCATTGTGGTTGTGAGTAGCAGGAATCGAACTTGCGTCACCTCGGGCTTGACCCTTAGTAGGGGACCACAACGAGGAATACTAACCACTATACTATACTCACTTGTTTACTGGCGTTTTTAGCGCCATGGCGAACGGCACGGGAGGTATCTAGGGTGAGTCATAAGGAATTACTCGCGGCTGGGAGTCTTAGGTTTGGTGCATAGGGTGATTCCAGTCTTAATAGGCCCTTTGCGCAAAGACTCCAGCTCTAAATTCCGGTAACCTGATTGGATCCTCTCATCAACCAATCATACAAGTAGAGTTTAGAGCCAGCTCTATCTGCGCAAAGGGTCTAATACAAGGTGTGGTTATGATTGCATACTACAAAGTTAGCAGATAGGAAGTTCTGTAAGATGCGCACAGCAGGAGATGATGTGAGGCGCTTTGCGAGCCAAGCGGCCACGATCGCACATAGGAGAGATGTACGGGCAGATAAAGAAAATCCCCTGGGTAATACATGTGGAAGTGACTACTATTTTCCCTGTCCCTGTACACAATAATATGTGTGCCCCCAAGAACCTCAAACCATGAATCTTAGCACGAGTGATATCCTGTGATGATTCCTAACCACCCAAATATTCATCGCCAGATATATCGATGCGCTCTGGGTAGGTAAATAGTGTATCGAATAGTTGATGTGGAAGACCAGACACATATGTCCTGGGCCTCGGGATTCGGGGATTAACAAAAAGCCAGCGTTATCTCGGTTCCGTAAAGAAGCCAGTGGTGGGCAAAGCGGTAGAAATCTAGATTTCTGTACTGTTTGTTAGACAGTGGCTAGGAACTATGCGGGCAGGTCCTGTAGTATGAGCTCGCCCGTTTGTGTTTGTGCATTGCCTGGAGGATGTCTCGTCACCATTGTTGGATTTCTCTCCCCCTTTCCCCCTTTTTCTCCTTTCACTTATAAACCAAACACAAGGCATATGTTCTCCTGGTCCTGGTTTATGTGGCGTAGTAATGGTCTGGGAGCTAGAAACAGTCAGTATTATTAATACATTAATCAACTATGCAGAACCGGGTTCTGCTAATAATCCAACCACATGCAGTCAGGACTACTAATCTGCTGTCCCCTCCCAGTAACACAACTACAGGGATTCAACGTCACTACCCTCCACAGCTATCCCAAACACCAAAACCTCGAAACATCCAAACCACCAGCCCAATCATCACACAATGCCCCTCGCCGCGGTCGGCCAATTCTGCGCCACATCTTCCCTCTCCGCCAACCTCGCCGCCTGCCAGCGCCTCCTCCGCCTCGCCCGCGACCGTGGCGCATCAGCTCTCTTCCTCCCCGAAGCGTCTGATTACATCGCCACCTCCCCCGCCGAATCCCTCTCTCTCTGCCAGCCCGTCACCACCTCCCCCTTTGTTCTCGGCCTCCAAGCCGAAGCCAAGAACCTCGCTCTCCCCATCAACGTCGGTATCCATGAGCCATGCCCCACGAGCGCAGACAAGGTCCGCAACATAAGCATCTGGATCGACACCAATGGCGACATCACGCAGCGTTACCAGAAGGTGCATACGTTCGACGTCTCTATCGCCGGCGGCCCGCAGATGCAAGAGAGCAAGACCACGGAGCCCGGCAGCACCTTGATACCGCCGTTCCAGACTTTGGTGGGGAAGGTTGGGCTTCTGGTGTGCTTTGACCTGCGGTTCCCCGAGCCTTCGCTGGCGCTACGGAGGATGGGGGCTGAGGTGGTGACGTATCCGTCGGCGTTCACGGTGCCGACGGGGCAGGCGCATTGGGAGGTGTTGTTGCGCGCGCGGGCGATAGAGACGCAGGCGTATGTAGTTGCGGCGGCGCAGATTGGGCGGCATAATGAAGGGAGGGCGAGTTATGGGCAGTCGATGATTGTGGATCCGTGGGGGAGGATTGTGGCGCAGTGCCGGAAGGTTGATGTGGGAGAGGAGCCGAGAGCGGCGGAGGAAGTGGTGCCAGAGATTTGTGTGGCGGAGGTGGACCTGGGGATGTTGGAAAAAATAAGGAAGGAGGTGCCGTTGAAGAGAAGGTTCGATGTGTACCCAGAGGTTTGAGTAGAGGGTGCTAGCTTTGATGTATTTATGTCGAGTAATTTTCGTTATTGAGTGATCTTTATGATCAGCGAACTCTTATGAGGTGAATACATGTATGTATATGAGCTTGAATGAGCTACCTATATGAGCTTCATGATCGAGTGATTTGTGATGATGCTGTACGTAGTCGACTTTTTTTTTTTGTTTGTTTAACTCGTACATAGTCGACTACTATCTCGGATTCCCATCCTCATGTTGGCATCCTTGGAGATGCAATCAATACATTGAATTACAAGTCGTTAGGTATCAAGCCCCCATCAGCCTTAACACACTGCAGGGTGGACGCTCTGTTTAATGCAAAATACGAGAGAATGTAAGCTGGGTTACTTTATGAGTAGCTCTATTAGGACACAAATAATTAACAGACTTCCAGAATCCTCAAGCAAGCAAGGGGGTACACATCGGGGTGGTGGTGGAGGATCGATTGAAACCCACAAGAGTAACTAAAAAAGGGGTGTCCAGTAGTCAAGCTTAAGAATGGTAGTCTGGAAGATTAATCAGTTCAGGTCTGAATGCATGCGCAGAGTGAACCTGGCGTCGAAAAACTGTTTGCAGATGTAATCAACGGGCCCATCAGGTTAGTAACCTAGCGAAGGTAAAAGACTCTGACAATTCTGTATACCTTGTCGCTTCTTAAGAGTGTAGGAGGTATTTCGACCAAAGTGCCTTTTATTCTGTTGGGAGGTTCGGAGGGAATTTCTTTAAATACATGTGCTCCCCTGCATGTGAATTTTCATTAGCGTGAGTCTGATATATACCACATCTTCGCCACGACACCCTTAACCTCTCACATGTACAGTCACTCATGGGGTGAACGCGGATCCTGTCTGATGGCGGTCAGAGACTTGAGGCCAATAGCAGAGTTAAGTTTGGGACACTAAGAGTAGATTACTACGGGCACAACCATCAGACAGAATCCGCCGCCACTAGGTGAGCGACTGTACACAATTATCCCATAAACCGTCGATGCTGACACCCCTCATGCGAGGGTGATAGATCAACAAAAACCACAACATCCATTGGCTCTAGCCACCTCTTGGGATTTAGAAGGGGTGTCGACGGTTTATGGGATAGCACGTAATGCTATATGTAGCTCCCTACATGTACATACAAAGAGCAGCAAAAACTGAATGTTAGTTCCAGGTCAAGGTTTAGCTCTACGTACAACATATTAAAAATCTCTCTAGACGAATATTACCTAAAAATGAAAACGAAAAGAAAAAAAAGAATGAAAATCCCCACCTAAATACCCCGTTCCAGCCGTATTCTTTTGCCGGCCTCCATCCCTAAAAGAATTGAAGAGGTGATGGAACAATATCTATAAATAAGGCAGCACGTTCAACCACGGAAATATCAAGATATACGCCTTTTTATAAAGGTAAAAAGTGATGGAACGGGCTGAGACAGAGTGGTACCTGTTTTGGGTAAAACGCCACCAACATATGGTGTTTGCAGGTACATATATATGTATATAACTGTATCTCAGGGCATTAGAGCGTTTTCGCAACCAACTTCTGTGTCGAAAAGTGAGCTCGAAATTTGAAAATTTGGGTGTTGCCAAAACGCTCTATTCTATCGCTTATTAGAGACTTTGCGCAAATGGAGCCAGCTCCATTTTCTGACAGCCTAATTGGTGACGATCACACCATTATCCAATCAGATAATCGAAATATAGAGCTGGCTCCATTTACACAAAGTCTCTGTTACCTATCGCTGTACTACTTGAAGCAACCTGCCCCTGATAATCATATGATCATTGGTCATAAAGTTGATAATGAACCACACATAAAAGTAAACATAATTGTAGTTGGATGAGGTCATCTACAATCTCTTTAGATGTTTATTCTTGAAGTGAGAATACAACTGTTGGCTGTTGGACCCAAGCCATTCTCCCGTATATAACCCGTAGTCGCTGTGATCATTGCGATAACAAAAGGGCTCAACCACGAGCTATCCATGCATTCTAATATCATTATAACATGGATATAAAAACCTACATATACTTTGTTCTAATAGAGGAGATATGTTAATGACATCGTCAACTAACCAATCATTGATGCTAGGCCCAAACGAAAGCTAGGTAGGGCGACTTAATAAATAAAATAAGTAGCATAAGGATGCTAAACTTCGAACCTCCATCTTATCCCCCATACCTCTCCGTCCTTCTCCCTCTTTCATCTCTTCATCCTTCGTCTTCACCCGTCGTCTTCATCTTTCGCCCTCATCTATACGTACCCACCCACCTCCAACCAAGATGGGCAATAATATGAGAGATCTCAAGCGGAAGAGGCGTAGAAAAGAAGAAGCCGAAAAAGACAGAAAGGCGAGGAAGGTCCAAAAAGTCATCCATGCTGAGGATCAATATTATACTTCTCCCCCCAATCCTCCCTCTGTTCCTCCTTCTTCTTCGTCTCATTGTCCTTTGTCTTCACCTTCACCTTCGCCTTCGCCTTCGTCTTCGCCTTCTCCTTCGTCTTCACCTTCTCCTTCGTCCTCGCCTTCTCCTTCGTCTTCGCCTTCTCCTTCGTCTTCACTTTCACCTTCTCCTTCGTCTTCGCCTTCTCCTTCGTCTTCGCCTTCTCCTTCGTCTTCACCTTCTCCTTCGTCTTCACCTTCTCCTTCGTCTTCACTTTCTCCTTCGTCTTCGCCTTCTCCTTCGTCTTCGTCTTCGCCTTCTCCTTCGTCTTCACCTTCTCCTTCGTCTTCACTTTCTCCTTCGTCTTCGCCTTCGCCTTCGCCTTCGTCTTCGCCTTCGCCTTCTCCTTCGTCCTCGCCTTCGCCTTCTCCTTCGTCCTCGCCTTCTCCTTCGTCCTCGCCTTCTCCTTCGTCTTCACCTTCTCCTTCGTCTTCTCCTTCTTCAAGTGACACGGACGAGGATAGGATTCCTAACATCAATCCTATCACGAATCTCCAAACCCCCGCAAACCAGGTGGTTGGTACGGACGAAAACCTTCCTCCCCACCCCGTTCAAGTTATTCAAGACAATTT